CTATATTATGATGGTCGAAGGGCCCTAGCATAAATTTGTCCCTGACTCCGAAAAACCATGGAGCGTACCTTCATAAAGGTGCCGAATAATAAAGTACCCATTATGAGCTAAATACTACCTAACAACTAATATCATCCAATAATACAAACTATTCCATATTCATCTATCATCTTGATCAAAATCACAGCTAAAATTATCTATAGCCGTGGTTAAAATGATAAATTATTAAATTAATTAATTTAGCATGGTCAAAATCATTGAGCAAATAATATAACTATACATATTAATATATTATAATATAAAAATTTATGTCAAAAAGGTAAAAATAAATTATATGCTACATAGTTTGTACTGCCATCTATGGATTACATTCTACACCASCACACTTATCAAAGTTAAAATATTATAATATTATTATCAAGGATTTCATTTTTAGTACACACTTATATAAAAATAATGAATGTAAAAACATGACTATAAAAAATAAATGTAAATGTGTAATTTTTATCATATCATAAACGATCAATGACTATAGAATATATTATTTAATTCCTAATCTGATATTCTGATTAGCGATTTATGATTATGCCAGTTGTTGGTTTAAAGTCAGTTGAATGTCATTGTGGTTTGTGGCTATGCAACACGCATTGAATTTAAAGTGAAATGTAACTTTTTCGAATTTAATTTAATATATTATGCCTATTTATCATCATTATCATCATTAAAGTTGTTGTCCAGATGAAAGTAAGTGCACAGATGACCTTCTATAAATCCAATTTCTTAGTGAAATCATGAAACATAAATATTATTATGGTGTCCATCAAATAACCAGTGTAATTAATATTTATTTTATATTCTGGGTAGTTATTGCTGGTAAATACTAATGTTACCAATTGAAATTTTTGAGCTCTGTTAATGGTATCTTAAAGAGACAATGCTGTTGACGTTATATTATATGGCTACCAATTGGTTTCAATCATATAGATTATCAAATATAAAATCAAAATTGAAAAAATACCTTGCAAACAATTTGACTTTAGTGCTATACAAAGAAAAAGATTTTGTAATATTAGACAATGAAAGTAAGTTAATTGTACATTTTTTTTTCTACTGAAAACATTTTTATGAAATTGTCATTTTAGACTTGTACAATAAAGAAAATGGTGATATATTTCTGTCCTTAAAACCTCATGGTATTACTTCCGACAGTTGCAAAGATGCTAAGTCTGCTCAACTTGATCAGATCCTATCATTTGTTGGGCACAAAAGGTCATGTTCAGTTTTCCCAGAGGTAATAATATATTCATGTATATTTATAACAATTAGATTGCTTAATTTAGATTTGAAAAATATTAAAGTATAAGTATTTACCAAAACTTTATAAATCTTATGAGTATGAAGAAAAAGATGATTTTGAGGAATCATCATGATTTTGGATTTATACCAGAAATATCAATAATTGAACCAATATTCTTTATAAGGCAGATAGTGGAGTAAAACAGGGAGAAAAAACTAATTTGTGTATGATGTTTTTAGATTTGTAAAAGTCAATAGAAATTCATRAGAGATATTTTATTGGTAAGGAAAGGATTGCTGGGGGCATATGCAAAAATAAAAGATGRCATAGCCCATGGAGGTAGACAAGGATGGGCAGGATGGCTAATTACCTCATATAGCTAGAAGCAAAGAAATAAAAATTAACAATTTATAAAATAATTGCATCGATAAATATAAAATATGATGTACTTAAAATATTGACAAATTTCATTTATGTTATCAGTCTTAATTAGATTGTTTTATTTTAATAGCAAACATTAAATGTGGATTGTTGGATTCTTATTCCAAATAACCCTATTACATTTCCTGCACACTTGAATACACACAAGCCAATATCTTTAAGTTTTGAAACAAAACTTCATTTATTGGTTGAAGCCACTTACAGAATGTTCAATGTTCATCAAAATATAAACAAATGTTTTGTAAGTTAAACACAATTTATGTAAATMTTTTATTTATATAGTGAGTGGTTATATAAATATATATTTTGTGTATTTTAGATTGAAGATTTTGGCGTGCCTAAAGCATGGAATGCTGGAGAAAATTTTGGTCTATTGTTGGAAACTGATCTGGATCACTTTGCTGAACTTGCCAATAATTTTATGGCTGATTCAAAGTCACTGTATCTGGGAAACCATATGGAATTACTACGAATACAAAGTCTGTAACAAATTATTTTTAAAATACATTGCCAATAACTGTTTAATTTTTTTTTTTTTTGTAGCTGTAAAAATTGAAGGTCAACCATGTGATATTAAAAATAGTGAATCAATTGCTTCTAACATTGATTTTATTTATAGTTTACATGATAATTATGG